TAGCCAGGCCTTTCAGCTAATATGGACGGGCATAGTCAGAGGTTGGTTGTGCCTCTATGTATACAGAAAGGGGATCCCGAGAGTTTTAGTAAGGGATTCTTGAAGCATTCTGTTCGCAGCCTGTTATCACAGAACACAGCCAGGCTCAGGACTAGCCAGTCAGTATGAGAGCTGCAGCTCCGCTCTCCAATGCTGCTGGAATACTGATAAACACTGCAGCCCGATTCTCCTCCATGATGTCACTCTCCCTCACTGGAGCGGGACTTATGTCAGGGAGGGCGGACTGAGGCAAGGACAGAATTCCCATTACCTGCCCAGTAATCTTGTTCTGGGCTAATAATGTCCAAATGACGCTGCCGCAGGTAGAGTTATACATAATGCAGCAGGGAAGTTAAACTCTGTGTGCGCAGTAAATGCAGCTCCAGGCACCATGACCACTTCAAATCACTAGAGTAGGCATGGTGCATGGAATAAACCAATAACAGCCGCACTGGTTCTTTCCATTGTTTATGAAGCCTGCAGCTTAAATACATATATACTCCGGTCTCTCTCCTCATTTCACAAACACAGGGAAAAAGCTAGTGCAGATGTGTTGCCGAAGAGCCTAGACCAGCAGCAAACATAGCCTATACAGCCTAGCAGGAAGAGGAGCTCTCATTGTGCACTGGTGTTTGTTTTTTTTTGTTAGCTTTATTTAAAAAGGAAACTCCAGTGCCAGGAAAACAATCTGTTTTCCTGGCACTGCAAGGCCCCTCTCCCTCCCACCTCCCAATCCCCGGTAGCTGAAGGGGTGAAAACCCCTTCAGGTCACTTACCTGAGACCCCGCCGATGTCCCTCGGCGGTGGTTTCTTCTTGCCGCCACTCCTCCCAGTCATCATGTTGGCCGGTGGGCAAGACTGATCCAGCCCAGCCGGGGAGACCTAATGCGCATGCGCGGCCATTAGAGCTCCCCATAGGAAAGCATTGAAAATGCTTTTCAATGCTTTCCTATGGGGAATTGAGCGACGCTGGAGGTCCTCCCACAGCGTGAGGACATCCAGCGACACTCTAGCACAGGTTTTCTGTGCTGTAGAGCAGGAAGTGACCTCTAGTGGCTGTGTAGTAGACATCCACTCGAGGAGGAGTTAACCCTGCAAGGTAATTATTGCAGTTTATAAAAAAAAATTCAATAATTACACTTGCAGGGTTAAGGGTAGTGGGAATTGGCACCCAGACCACTCCAATGGGCAGAAGTGGTCTGGGTGCCTTGAGTGTCCCTTTAATACAAACACATGGAACCTACTTTATGGCACACAATGCAACATGCAATTAGAAAATGAATAGACCATTGGTAAAGCAAAAAAAAAATAAAAAAATAAAACATGGGAGAGACAAGAGAAACTAACATTAAGAGAAGTAGAAAAGGAAGCATTGGAAAGAAGTAGGGAAAATGGTTAAACCAGCAGTTCCCAAACTGTGTGCCATGGAATTTTTCCCGATGCTATAATTATGGCACCGCGGAAACATTACTGCTCAACAGGGAACCGGTCGAGTTCCACCTGACCCCTGTAATGTCGGCCGGCTGGGAGGAAGTGACAGCCTGTCACTTTCTCCCAGCGTCATGCAGAGAGATGGCGCGGGAGGAAGAGGAGGCAGCCGCAGCGTGAGGACAGAGGAGCACAAAGAGCTACAGACCAGGACTCCAAGCCACCCTCCTGAACACACAAGGTCAGTGAGCTTCTGTGTCTGCGCACACATCTGTGTATGTGCCTCTGTGTGTCAGGCATCAATGTTTGTGTGTCAGAGTGCATGTGTGTATGTCGGTGCGTATCTGTCGATGTCTATATGAATTTGTGTGTATGTGTCGGTGTATTTATTTGCATGCATCTGTGTGTTAATGTGCATGAATATCAGTAAGTATGTATGTACCTACATCCAATCAAACACCAGCACAATATACAAGCACACTCCTGCAATCTAACACAAATATTACATACAAACACACCCCTGCATTCAATCTCAGGCAAATATATACACAAACACATCCCTTCACTCAAACACAAATCCTTCACACAACTGTACATCCACGTTTAAAAGTGATTACATTCAGACACCCCCCCCGCCCCCGCAATCAAACATCACATAAAAACACACCTCTGTATTAAAACACAAAACATGTATACAAACATCCCTTTAAACACCAACACTGCCCATTACACTATAGCGCCAATAAATGCGGCAGCGCTGTACAGATATACAACCTAGAAATTTTTACTGGGGTTGCCTTGGGAAAATACTGAAATATTAAAGGCACCTTGAAACTACAAAGTTTGGGAACCACTGGGTTAAACTAAGGATAGCAGAGAAAGGGTCAGCAGCAGTAGTGAAAGTCAGGTAGTGAGTAGCGATTCCACAAAAAGAATGAAGTGGGTGGCACACAGTTCTTTACCTTCTAGTATGTTTTCATCTTCCAGTACGCTTATAGTTTAGGGCAGATTCACAACATGTGCAGGTAGATACCCTGTGGTCAGGGATGGTAGGAGACAGTCAATGAAGTTTTGTAACGTCATGAAAGCAGTTTTAAGAACATTTCTTTTAATTGTTTGCTCAAAGAGCAGGTCTTTCTTTTAATAAAGATATAGAGCTACACCGGTAGGGTCAAGGTGATATTCTCCCAAGGCTCCTGGGGGGAGTGAGCATGTATGTATATGTTATGAATGGGTAACTTCACTTACAAGTCTGCTGCTGTTTATAGGGGGCCTGGATAAGTGTGCTGGTACATGTACTTCTAAGTACATGCCTGCATGTGGGGGTCGTTATGTGTGTGCATATGTGTGTATGGGCTGCTATTTATTTAAACACCTGTGCTTACTTTTGGTTCAAGAACAGACCTAAACATGGTCATTTCAAGGGCTACACAAAATGGCAATTCTACACACCTAGTCCTACGTCAGTGCAAACCAAGTTAGATTATTGTTACAAATTTTTTAAATTATTCTAACATTAAGATGCTGCACACTTTATGATTACTTTCATTTCGAAATGTTTCAAATTCTCTTTTTGCAGAGAAAGAATTGAAAATGTACCTAGCCCTTTGAAAGAACAGGTGCATAGTATTTATATAGTATACATTGATGATATAAAATGTTGTCCCAAATAAAAAATATTCCTTACACCAAAACTTCAAATGTTTATCATAGTCTATTTATTAAGAAATTCCAGTACACATTGTATTCAGAGATCCTGCTCAATGTTTATTCAGGACTTACTCTTAGGCCTAGCTCCCTAAATTAGATTGCTAAACTCATTTAACCCCTTAAGGACACAACTTCTGAAATAAAAGGGAATCATGACGGAATATTTCCGTCATGTGTCCTTTTTAAGGAGTTATCTGTATCCAAAACTCAGAATTACCAGAGTCACAAGCAGTTCTGCCAAGTTCAGCCCAGTAGATTTCAATGTAGCTGCTGCACATGGATTCATGTATAAACCTAACAAGTCAGTGTGTCAAATACATGTAGATATGCATTAGGCAAGTAAAAACTCTTGGAAGACTGCCTTCTTTGTGCATTATAGAGACAAGGCATTTAAAAAAAAAAATTAAAAAAATGTAAAACTAAAAATTGCATTTGAAGTTCATTCAAATGTTGCAAAACTCCTGTCTTTTCATCTTCTGAAAAAAAAAAATTCTGAGCTGGGGCAGGAGGCAGCTTGTAAAGGCTGCTGACAAGAGATCTACAGTTTTTGCAAGCATTGTTATATGTACCCCCAAAAAGGGGAATGCACAATTAAATGATCTAATAAATGAATAACTAAACTAGAACACTGCTGAGCTTATAACCTTTAAAGTGTTTATGGGCACTGCAAAGATGTAAGGTTTTTTTTTTATTTATTTTTTTATTTTTTTTACACACACTTATTGTCGGCTTTCTAAAAGACTGGAACGAAAATAAACTCAAGTCATGACATCATGTTCAGAAGCATTTCTACAAAAAAATACAAAAAGACTGCCTGGAGAGCTGGAAGGTTAGGATCGTGGAACAAAACAATAATGAAAATGATAACATTAAAAATAATAAAACAAGCACAGGCAATTATTAAAGGACCACTATAGTGCCAGGAAAACATACTCGTTTTCCTGGCACTATAGTGCCCTGAGGGTGCCCCCACCCTCAGGGACCCCCTCCCGCCCGGCTCTGGAAAGGGGAAAAGGGGTTAAACTTACCTTTTTCTAGCGCTATGAGAGCTCTGCCCCTCTCCTCCTCCTCCTGCCGGCTGAATGCGCATCGCATGCGTGCCGCGCCGCCAAGATTCAGTTGTCGCGGAAAGCATTCTTTTTCCTATGGAGCTGGAGCTTCTCACCGTGAAATCACAGTGAGAAGCATTTCTATGGGGCTGTCAACTTAGACAGCCACTAGAGGGAATGGGGGAAGGCTTAACTATTGATAAACATAGCAGTTTCTCTGAAACTGCTATGTTTATGAAAAAATGGGTTAACCCTAGAAGGACCTGGCACCCAGACCACTTCATTAAGCTGAAGTGGTCTGGATGCCTAGAGTGGTCCTTTAACATAACCTATACATGATTGCATACAACACCTGGCTTCCTGGTGTGCCTGTTTAATTAGCAAAACTAGTGTAGCTCCATCTGAAACCATACCCTGTGCTAGACTGAGTCTTTCCTAATAAACTTTAATTCTTTTGATAAGAAAACATAAGCAAATTGCCAAATACAGCACCAAAACTGTTTTAGCTTAAAGGACCACTATAGTGCCAGGAAAACACTTGTTTTCCTGGCACTATAGTGCCCTGAGGGTGCCCCCACCCTCAGGGTCCCACTCCCGCCCGGCGCTGGAAGGGGTTAAAACTTACCTTTTTCCAGCGCTGGGCAGGGAGCTCTCCTCCTCTTCTCCTCCCATGCGGCTGAATGCGCGCGCGCATTCAACCAGTCATAGGAAAGCATTCATAATGCTTTCCTATGGATACTGGCGTGCTCTCACTGTGAAAATCACAGTGAGAAGCACACAAGCGCCTCTAGTGGCTGTCAATGAGAGCCACTAGAGGAAATAGGGGAAGGCTTAACCCATTCATAAACATAGCAGTTTCTCTGAAACTGCTAGATTTATGAAAAAATGGGTTAACCCTAGCTGGACCTGGCACCCAGACCACCTCATTAAGCTGAAGTGGTCTGGGTGCCAAGAGTGGTCCTTTAATGAAATGGTTTTGGTGTATAGATCATGCTCTTGCAGTGTCACTGTGCATTTAGGCGTTTTATCACTTTATTATTTATAGAGTGCCGACGAATTCCACAGAACTGTACAGTAGGTGGACTAGCAGACAAGTATTTGCAACAAGATGTGTTGGACACACCTGAACAGAGGGTGTTGAGGGCCCTGCTCAAATGAATTTACATGCAGCCCTAATCACACCTCCCCTGCATGTGACCTACAGACTCCCTATACATTTCCTGTAAAAGGAGATATTTAAAACTTAAATTCTAAATTGAACAGACTGCAATAAATTAACTCCTGCTAAGTTAGTAGACTGCTAAAGCGTCCTGTGTATGATTAAAGTTAATATAAGAGAGCAGGAGATAAACAAACACACTGTGCTATACGATCTAATTGAAAATTAAGCTATGTTTCCATGTTGGTTGTGTAAGTCACAGCCAGTGGAGGTAAGGCTGCATAAACAAAAGTGGTTTAACGCTTAAAATTGCAGTGAACTAAGTGGGGGCATGATCTATACACTAAAATCTGCTTCACTAAGCTAAATTTGTTTTGGTGCCTAGTGTCCTTTTAAAATAAAACAAACATTTCGCTAACAGTGCGAGGAATATACTAGGTTTATTGCTATGAAGCCAAATTTAACAAACAAGAGGAAGCAATAGAAGGTGTCTGGCTGCTGCATAAATAAATGCAAACGGTTCCCAGGTAAATAATGTTTGCATACGTCACAATGTTTATAAGCAAGGCTATTAAATTAATAGTTTCATATAAACAATATTAGAATGTTATGACCCACTTTTTAATTAGCATGGACATTTGAGATTATAGGTCTGCATCCCTATGAGCTTGGGGCACCTTTTGTGAAGAGTCCAACTAGCTAGTTGTCTCCTTGCCCCTTTTATCTGCAATACTGCTAAGAGTTGGGCTCTTCCAATGTGCTCCACAGCAAACCTCACAGGCATCCAACTCCAACCTTAACTACAGTAAAACATGAACCCCCAGAATTATCTGCCAATATAAGTTTGCCAAAGAACTATGTAAGTTGAAGACCAACAATAGTTATGCAGGGAAGCTTTGCACAAGACGTACTTAGAAATATATTGTCTATGAGCATAATCTTCCTCTTTACGGGGCCTTTGTTAAAATTGAAACCAATGTGTTAAATTCCCATTTCCGAGATCAACTTACAGACAGCAGTTAGAGACTTATTTATAAAGTAATCACAGGCTTACATGTTGTTGTTTGTTTCTCCAACACTAAGCATTCCACCTTTGCATCTATATAATATGTGCAAAGAGATGTAAATAGGCTTTATACAGAAAATGAGACACAGTATGTTAACAAAATATATAAACCGGTATAGTTCTACACCAGCTGTATACAGATGGTGTAGAACTGTAAATCAATTAAGAAATATAAAAGAAATAAAACACTAGTAAAGTATTACAGCAGATAGACAGGTATGCATTTTGGATAGGAATCTTTATAGACAATATTTAATATTAATTGTGCCACAATTGCACCACTTTCACCAAAGATACGCTTTTATACAAACCATCAATTTTTTTTTAGTTTTGTTTCTCTGTGTAAACTCATCCATCCAGCAGTGTTACTTCTTGCCCCAAAAACCGGTCGCCATGACCTACAGCACTGGAAAGGATTATTGTCAATTATATAGTGCCAATTTGTTCCACAGTGCTTTACGTTATAAAGAGGGACATTTGTGATACGGGTATCATCAACTTGCAGGGAGAGTGAAAGTGAAGAAATGGTATTATGAGGAGGAAACACAAGAAGCTCAGTTTTAGAGCGACTGAGTTTCAGAAATCAGCAAGACATCCAATCAGAGATGGGAGGAGAGATATATCTGGTTGTCATCGGCATAAAGTACAGGTGAAAGCATAATCCGAAATAATTAATACGTTTGCAAGACAGGCAGTATAAAGGGAAAACAAAAGGTGACTAAGAACAGAGCCTTGGGAGGCTCCAACAGAGACGGAACGAGGGAAATACTGAATGAACGTTGGAAGATGTAGGATGTTAACCACGTGATGACATATCACAGAGGCACAGGAATTGAAGAAGGGGAGGACATTATCAATAGTGTCAAAGTCAGCAGAGATGTCTAGAAGAAAAAGTATGGAGTAGTATTCTTTGGATGTAGCCGCAAATAAATCATTTATTACTTTAACCAGAGCAGTCTCAAGAGAATGGAGGGGCAGAAGCCAGATTTTAGATAGTCGAGGAGAGAGTTGGGCTTGAGAAAGCATAATCATTCCAGAAGCTTTGAGGAGAAAGGGAGCAGAGATATGAGATGATGGTTAGAAGGGTAGGGCAGCTAAGACAGTAACACGTTTAAGGGGAGTGGAGTGGAGACAAAAAGAGAGCAGTTGAGTATATGCATTAAAAGGACAGCACAAGACAAAGGGGGATCTGATAATGTGATATGGGACGGGATCAAGCAGACAAGAGGTAGGACGAGAGGGAAGGAGAAGCACAGCCACCTTCTGTTTAGTAGCTGCAGAGAAAGCATGAAGAGTAGCAAAGGAACAAGACAAAGGGCGGTGGAGAATTCTTCACAAGTGCTACCTCTGCATATGGCTTTGGCAACAAGAATTGCTAGCTCTGAGTAAACACTTATGATTGCTGTTTAGAGCACAGGCTGTAAGAAAGGGTCTGGGGTTAAAAAAACAAAACAAAAAAACAGCAATTATGAGTAGAGGCATGACGATATTGAGGTGAAAAAAATAAATAAAAGATTTGAGATTTCAAGATATTAGGGAATGTGTAAGATCAGATAGGTGAAAGTCGAATGGTAATCATTAATTATAAGTGTAATAACCAACACACACAAAAAAATTAAACATTTACCAAATCAATAGTTAGGCATGGAAGGTACAACAGCAATACCATAGGAAAGGGAGGGGAAATGTTATTTTTTATAATATATATATATATATATATATTTTACACAAGATCCAGCGCACTCACCTATCCACTAAACAGCAACTTCAATGTTGAAAGATTTTATTTGTTTTTTTTAAAACACCTAATCTAGGCAAAAATAATGGGGGTTTAGTTACATTATATGATCATACATTGCATAAGCCTGCCACAACGTCAATGTAACCCATCTTTGGCAGGTCCTACACTAACAGCCTAATGTCTGCTCTTATGAGATTAACCTACTTGGGGAAAAAAATTCCATCTGGGGCTCTCTGCAGTACAAGGCTAAATAGGGCCCTGGGATGAGGCACCTGTGACAGGGAGGGGTGCAAAACCAAGGAGTTGGCTAGACTCCCAAATATATACAAAACAAGAGGGGGTTGGCTGCACTCACCTTAACATGCATAAATGGGGGTGCTGCTGGGAGCCAAATAATACAATACAATACACAAGATCCAGCGCACTCACCTATCCACTAAACAGCAACTTCAATGTTGAAAGATTTTATTTGTTTTTTAAAAACACCTAATCTAGGCAAAAATAATGGGGGTTTAGTTACATTATATGATCATACATTGCATAAGCCTGTGTATTGTATTGTATTATTTGGCCCCCAGCAGCACCCCCATTTATGCATGTTAAGGTGAGTGCAGCCAACCCCCTCTTGTTTTGTATATATTTGGGAGTCTAGCCAACTCCTTGGTTTTGCACCCCTTCCTGTCACAGGTGCCTCATCCCAGTGCCCTATTTAGCCTTGTACTGCAGAGAGCCCCAGATGGAATTTTTTTCCCCAAGTAGGTTAATCTCATAAGAGCAGACATTAGGCTGTTAGTGTAGGACCTGCCAAAGATGGGTTACATTGACGTTGTGGCAGGCTTATGCAATGTATGATCATATAATGTAACTAAACCCCCATTATTTTTGCCTAGATTAGGTGTTTTTAAAAAACAAATAAAATCTTTCAACATTGAAGTTGCTGTTTAGTGGATAGGTGAGTGCGCTGGATCTTGTGTATTGTATTGTATTATTTGGCCCCCAGCAGCACCCCCATTTATGCATGTTAAGGTGAGTGCAGCCAACCCCCTCTTGTTTTGTGTGTGTGTGTGTGTGTATATATATATATATATATATATATATATATATTATATATATATTAGTGTGAAAGTGAAAAACAGGAAATCGAATAAATTAAGCAATATATGTTTGCCTTACTTGACCTATGCATATGGCTTTGGTTGCAAGACTTGCTAGCTCTAAATCCTGAGTAAATGCTTAGGAGTGTGGTTTGGGACATAGGCTCTGCATTGGCTGCAAGACTTGAGCTAAAACTTCTGCTGTACCCATAAAACGCTGCACATGGAAAAAGCTCAGCAGTGCAACAGAATTATATAATAAACATTAATCAGTTCCTGGTTTGGTAAAAACCTTGCATAACCTTGAATTTTGTAAAAGATGCAGGAATTTAAATGTGTTTTTACATTTGTTTGCATTTATTATGTAATAAATGGGTCACATACTGCCTGGAGTGTTTGTCCCTTTAAGCCTCCATTTATATAATTTAATTCTTTCTCCGCAATATTAAACATTTTAACATTGAGGATTTTCAGTAGATCATTGAACGTTATTGACCAGAATGATATTGTACTTTTTTTACTTTGCCACGCTTATGAAAATTGGTCACAGAACAAAGCCTTACTTAACAGGATTATTTTCCTGTTCCAATCCAGCTACCAATTTAATTGGGATTATATCTGTGAAAAGGATTACACAGTCTGGGTGTCCAAATGTTGGAAGCTAGCAGGTGATTATGTACACTATGGACCAACAAGAGCTACAAAACTACATTGTAGCTAGGGGATTAAAGAATATGAAAAGAGATCACATCAAATACTACGGTATTTTCCCCCCCCATTTTTATAAGATTTTATATAGGAGAATAGCAATTCCATGCAGCATACACTCATTAACAATGCTGAATATTTCCAATGATAGTATTAGGTCTAAAAATTGTATAGAATACTACGTTAAATACCCCATTATCAAAGACACTCATATTTA